TGAAGTTTTTTTCTAGCCACTAAAAACACGTTACATCCAAAAACTGCTTATTTCATTGTCCCCAGTCTCATTCATGCCTAGGCAGGTTCACAAACCCTTTAATTTAGCTTTTCTCTTTGCCAAAAGCTCCAAGACACATGCATCTTCTGGTGCTGCACTGTTCTACCATAAGGACTCCTTAGACATTAGGGGTAAGGAAATCTCTCGAGATCCCTCTAGTTTAGAGTTCATAAAGTTAAGGAAAAGCTGTCTGTGAAAGACCACAGTTATGAGCCACATCTAGTAGTATCGTTCAGCTAGAAAGATCAAAATCTGCCCATTTTGAAACGCACAATTTTAAATACTAAATATTATTTTAAATGAACCTTTAATCATAGAATTTGATGTGCATATGTAAGCAGTTCAAAGGTCTGAGGTAGGTTGCCATACCGCCTACCTCAGTGACACAGACTTATTACTGCATCGTATTCCGTGTTGTTTTACCTCTGCGTCAGTGGTTCTGTTAAATTCCTGTAGCGATTATCTGCGCTTCAGAGCATGTAATTTCATTATGTTATTTGGCATGTTCACTGTAAAATCTAAACTACAAGTAAAGCTAATGCAGCACCCCTATATCACAAACCTTGCCTTTATCTATATGGTTCATTAGTGCCATAGCTTACCCCTAGATTAATCACCAATGCCCTTACGTTATTTGACACCAGTATGTTTCCAACACCTCAATAGTTGCCCCTCATACAGAAGCAAGGTCCATTCAGGACCTTCAGTAAGCGGCCATACCTGTTTTAAGCATCTGGTTCCTGGAGAGGTGGCATTCCAGAGGAGGAGCTGCTGTCACACCCGCCAAAGGTGCTGCTGCTGTTTCAGGAAGAGCAGAAGTGCTTTCCACTGGAGTAGGGGGAAGCCTAGTTGTTTTCGCTGATGCTGTAATAGATGTCAAAGCTGCTGTAATTGTCAGCGGATACGGGGTTGACGTTTTGGTGATTTCTGAGCTTGGGAATTTCTGGGTGTCAGTTACTGCTGTTTTTATCTGCCTCTGTGCGTGTACTGTGGATGCAAGTGTGGAAGTTGTGACCGTGCTACTTTTAGGTGTTATAAGTACAGCTGTCATCTCCACGGGTGATGCAGTTGTGTTTCTTGTTGCAAAAGGAAAATCTGTATGTGTTCCTACTGAGCTTAGAATTGATGCCAATTTTGCAGTAGTGTTATTTTTTGTTAGCGTCAGTACTGGTGTGCTTAAAGCCATCACAGATGGCAAAGCTGTGTTTTCAGTGCCTAGAGAAAAGAAGGGAGAAGCTGGCACTGGTGAAGTTGGAGATGATTTTCTTGTTATTTGTTTTGCTTCTGAAGTTCCTACTGTAGGTATTGCACCAGAAGACACTCCAGATAACACTGTAATGACAGAATGGGTAAAGTTGGTTGTTGACAAAGAAGTAGAAGTTAGATGTATTGGTGATGCATGGACAGAAGTTATGATGACTGACTGCAGAGCACTGGTGGTGGGCGTTTGTAATGGGATGGCCCTCGTAGCTTTGTTAGATATATTAATGGGAACTACACTATGCCTTGTAACATTTGTGTGCCATTTCTGCGTACTAAGTGGAGCTGGATTTTTAGCAAGTGTAATCAAATAACCAGATGACTCTAAATAGTTGTCTGCAAATTTTGGCAAATTTCCAGAACTGATATCTTCTTCTGTAAAAGAACTAGGTGTGCGAGCTGAGCTAGAATACCTAGTCACTGGAAAGGGGGACTTGGTTTGCAGTAAGCTCTTGTCTGAACTGACTTCAGAGTTGGCTGAAAGAGTCAGGTTGTCAGTGAATTCAAAAGCCAGGGTTGGTGTTGTGTTTAAGGTTTTTGTTAGTAAAGTGACTTTTCCAGCATTACTTGTTTGTGATTCCAGAGTGCTAGGAGAAACAGCTGTATCATTAACAGGAGGCACATGAGGATGGAGTTGTGCTTTAAACCCCATTTTGACATTTATGTTCCCATCAGTGAAGAAATTAGTAAAGTTTTCAGTTGTATTTCCATGATTCCTTTGTAGGGCAGCAGGTAACACCGTAGTAGTAGCAAGAGATGAATACTGAACAGGAGATGTTTTCAATGTAAATGCACGTATACCAAATTCTGAGAAGCTATTAGACTTTGTTCCAGTTAAAGCCGAATTTGAACCATTTTGACCAGACAGTACAGACAGATAGTTTGTTGAAGTAGCAGAGAAAAGTGATTGCTTATTTAAATTTGTTTTCTTTTGCAGATCTGAAACTTTTAAATATGATGTAGGGTACTCAGTTTCTAATGGAAGTTCCTCCAAGTACTTCTCTCTTACTAGCATTTTGTCTGAAGTTTTTACTGAAGAAAGACTAACATTACCTGAAGAGAGTAACTCTGTATTGGTCCATATAGAAGCTGAAGCTGTGATTTCAGGAGAGTATCTAGGTTCTAAATTGCTTTCAGAGACAGCACGTGAAATACGAGAAAAATGCGAGAGGTGGCTGTCTTTCATTTTTGTCCTGGAAACAGATAATGGCAATGTACGCCATTCTGAAGGCACAACAGAGGTTAACTGCTTTGTATCAATTGAACGTGAAGTATGACCGGAGGTATAATTAGACTGATCTAAAGCTGACAGAGGTGAATGTTCTGTAAGTGGAGTTAAAACAGCAGGTACTCTCATATTGCTTTCTTCATTTTCAGTTATGCCTGAACTTCCTGCACTAGCAGATGGAAGATGTGCAGTCACAGAGATATTAGTAGCAGAGGTATTTGTGATAGCAAGTTCAGAATTTGAAAGGCCTGCAGTGGAAGTAATTAACAACACTGGAGCTAGATCAGGGCTAGTCATTTCTGCTTCCAAAACGCTGCCTATTATCATTGATCCTCTTGCGAGTTTACTGGCCTGGACAGCTGGAGAAACTTTGGAAAGAGATCCATAAGGCAGAACGCTATTAGCATTAACGATGGTGGACGTTTTTGCTGTCATCCTTCTCGTGAAAGACGGTCGAGCTGTTCTAGTCATGGGAGAGCCACCAGAAGTCACGAGAGTATGTCCAGAAGCAGCTGGCAATCGCATGCTATTTGCTTCATAAGCTCCATCAGTCAGGTCTTTTGCAAAAGTCTGATTCATAGTTAACACTGAGTGATGCAAGGAAACAGTTACCAAAGGGATTGGCAAAGTATCCTCATAGACTGCTGTTGCACTTGCATCGTTCATGTGTGATGTCGTAGCAAAAGTCCGAATCGTCTCAGTTTGCAAGGCAGATACAGTGCTTGTTGAAGAGGAGCGTGTTGTGTTTCTCAGAAGTGAAACAGATTTTCTTCTAAGTGCTAGTACTCGCAGTACTGCACTGTCAGTATTACTTGCATCTGGAATAAACGATTCTGGCAACAAGAGGGAAGGCCTGTTCTCTCTTGAGCTGGAGTCCGTAACTGGGCTCTCAGAAGCTGATGATAAGAATGCTGCTCTAACAGAGCTTGTAGTGCAATTAGTCAGTGCTGTGGAAAGCTGAGGATGACTCATTTTGGATATTTTATGTGCAGGACTCCCGTGATGAAAGAATGATGTAGCAATTTCCGCTTTATTCTGAAAAATTGGTGATGACTGAGAAGGAGGTGTATCATTTGTTCCGTCAGTCAACAGCACCTTAAATGGTTGATTATTGGGTTTTCCTCCAGTAGGAGACATGTTATACACACTTTCATTAGGAAACCATGATGCACTTCTGGAAGTTACTGGGGTAGAAGACTGATACAATATTATTGACATAGGAGTATCCGAGTACACAGATAAAGAGGTCCTTTCTGAAGGAGACTCTTTTTCCATTACTTTAGTGAAATGCATTGTTGTTGATCCAAGGAGATCAAAAGACATGGTACCCATAAAAAAACTGGGGCCCTTTCTAGATAACGTGTGATTCATCATACTGGAATTTACTACAGTGACAACGCTCAGAGGACTATTTCTGCTTTCACTAACCTGAATGTTGGTTGAATCTGTGTTGAAGGAACTTTCAGGATCTGCAGACAAAGGCACTTTGATGGGCAGTACAGTTGATTTAGGAAAGTTAATGGTATGAGGTGACTGGATTATCAATGAAGAGAATGATGGTGATGGAACAGATGCAAGAATGTCTGATTCTGACATGCTTTCTTTTGAAATGGAAGGTGTTTCTAATGGTATTAGCTGAAGTGGCACAGCTGTACTTGAACGTGTCATTGATGGTGTAGTGGACAATGTGGCAAACATACTGAGTCGAGGCAAACCTGATACAGCAGCTAGTTCATCTGCATCTTGAGATGATGACCTCAGAGGTGATTCAGCTGAAACTTCAGCAGGTTCCTGGGATGCACTATTTCCACTGCCTTGATAAAGACTGGGTGAAAGATTAGTTTGATCCATAGTTCTGGTACGCGTGCCAGTCAATGTTGTTCTTATCATCTGAAGCAAGTTTGCATTCTCTAAAGTCTGTCCCACAGAAATGTCAACTACTGAGGAAGTCTTAGATTCGGCAGAAGGCCGTGTTGGTGACAGTATAGATCTCCAATTAGGAAAAGATTCCGTAGAAGGAGCAACATTGATATGCTGTTGCTTGATACCTGTAAAAAAAATAAATAAATAAATAAATAAGAAAGTAAAATGAGTACTCTCTTCCCCAAAAGGAAGAGGAGAGATCTTGTTGCAATAAATCACAGCATTAAATGCATTTATCTTTAGTAAAATTTGTGACTTTTTTTGCATTCAAACGACATAAGCATTCAGAGAAAGTTTAAAAAAAAAAAAAGTAAAGAGTACAATGTGACAGATTATAAAGCTCTCAAGTTGTTTCATCTGACAGAAGAACATAAGACAAGCTTTATAGACAATGCTATTTTTTACTAGAATGGCTTAACATACTAAAAGATACCTTGTTAAGCCTGGGACAATTCTTGAGGTTATCATCAGTGATCTTGTGTTGAAATACTATGTGAAAAGTGGGGTTTAGAAGCACTACAGAAAGGAAGTGGATTTTGACAGCCAGACTTCACTGACTTGGCATGCAGTCTAACACGGGAATAGAGTCAGTATTGGCTGGGTTCCTGTAGGATGCATCTGGAGGTGTACATCTTGCCAGTTCTAATAATGTATGCAATTGTAGGCACAAAAGGAAGAAAATGTAACAGGGATGAATATTAGGGGGAGGGAGGAAGAAGAGTCGGGGATAAAATCCAAAACAAATTAGGAAATTAACTCCTTATTTGATACGTCCAGATGTACAACACTTCATTTCAAATGCTAGTTTATTTTACATTCAATACCATAATGCTCCTAGGCTTTGTTTACCTAAAACGATTACAGTTCTTCTAAAATCATAGCTTGGGAAACCTTACATTCTTACTAATTTAAAGATTATAATTAAATCAAGAGTTATATTTAAGTTTTTCTTTCCCCCTGCCACAAGATAATAGATCAAACTCAGTACTGGCATTTGCTCCTGTGCCAAGCTGTGCCCCCTTACACAGCTGAGTAGAGGCACAATGCAGAGCCATTCCCAGCCATCAAACTGCACTACCCATGGATACTGCAGACAGAGGACACCAACCTCCTCCATGCCTGCAGGACTAACCCCAGTCTAATGGCATGGAAGTGTAAACAGGGGGCAGATCTTGAAATACACAGTTATAAAGTAAGCACTAGTTCCAACCACCAACCAACCCAGCTGTTCTGAAGGGGATAATCTTGTATAAACAGGAGCCAGCAGCAGAACACTATACAACGCAAGAGAGGAAAATGGTTCACACTTCACCTATTTAAAGCTAAGTTTCTTTCTTGTGCTGCCCTTGTGCTATACCACCCATCATCCACATGCACAGGCCAAAGCAGATGATTAGACTAGCTCCTTCAGGTTCCTATGTTCATTCAACATGAACATGCTGGAATTGAGCTACTTAATATGTTCGGTGTGGCATCTTCACACCAAAAATTGCAGATCTTGCCTTTTATTCCTGTATTTAAGAGCTATATTTGACCATGATGAAGAATGGCTGTTTACTTTTCTTTTGTTGAGATGTAAGAACAAATTAAGAATCCAGAAACAAGCTATTTTAGGGAAGCAGTTCCAGGATGCAAGCCAGGACAGAACTCTAAGCTTGAAACAGCTTAAACAAAAAAAATAAAATAAAATCCTAGGACCTAAGATGAGCTGATTTGGACACTACCATTTTGGATAAAAGCAGATAAAGGTAAGCAGATACAGGACAATATACAGCAAAAAGAGGTAAGCAGACAAGGAGGAACCCCGATCGGCCTGTATAAAGCTGTTCCAAATGACCTTACGGTGAAAACATCCCTACAGGGTCACCAGGCCTAACAAGCAAGATGCTGCATTACAGAGGAGAAGTAGCAGGCAGGCCATGAGGCAGCAGAGTCTACCAAGGGTGTTAATCCAAGAAGAGAACCTTGCAGCATAACTGGAACGTATAAAAGTAACAATTTTGTTATTTACACCATAGGTGCTGATATGTCATTGTAGGACCTGAGTCCTAAAGGACTGGTGCTGCCTAATTGCTGATAATCTACATGCTTCACCAAATGGTGGAAGATACCATTTGACTGTGTTTTGGTGTCTTTTCCTTCTCTGCTCTAGTCAGACATTTTTTAAAAACAAGTTAGGAAAGAGAATGTATTTTGCTGAATTAGAATAGTTTCAATATATGTTTAGAATTAAGAACTAGATTATGTGGTTTGCAAAATCAGGCATTCCGTTTCTACGATGTCATCCTAACCAATGAAGTCATCATTACCCAATCTGTGACATCTCCAGTAAATTGTCTTGTTTCACCTTTGAAGTGACAGGCTGTACTGAGAAATGAATGCAAAGCCTTCACATGAGATTCATCCAGCACTTTGCAAATCTGAGTCCTAAACAGAAATTAAACAAGCCTTTTTTTTTTTGCTTTCTAAAATAGCAAGATCTGTCAAAATCAATCCATACACAATCTGTAACATTCTTTATAAATTTCTTCACACTTTGGTTTAATGAGAATGATAAGTAACAGAGAGACAATGTAAACCTGAAAAAGCGTTGAATTGATGTTACCACATTTTGTCAAGGAGTAAAGAAAAGCTCATAAAACACCAAAAAAGCTAAAAACACCAAACAAAAATATCCTCTAACCACCGTTTAATCCTTCAGTTCTCATTTGTTACACAACCGGCAATTTTTCCTTTTACGTCCATTACTGAATGAAAGCTCTTAAGTAACTCAAGGTTTAAAAAAAAAATTATTCAATATTCTGCAGTCAGAATATGAATGCTGTCATTCTACTGCTGCAAGTCTTCTTTTGTTTCTTTCTCTACAGAAAAATACTATCAATAGCTTTTTCAATCTTCTACCATAAGTATCAACATTCTGCATCTGACCAGATACAGCATTCAAAAAGCGAAAGTTATCTTCTCCATATGTGAAGTTTAAACTATAGTACATACTCTTTACTTGAGAACTGGTAGGATGATAACAGCTACATATCTTTATCAAATACTGTGCAAACCAAGGCTGTGTCACCCCTTTACATCTACCAACAACTGAAAACATTTAACAAAAGGAGAAGACCAAGTCAAACCAACATGAAGTTCACCATGAGAACTCCATCCCATATGCATTAGGCACTAAGCAAGAGGACCCAGTTATTATCCAACTTCTGCCCCTCCTCTTGAGATATCATAGTCGCATGTTATTCTTCACACAGGTTAGGTTACTTCCAGTGAGAAAACTAGCTGGTAGGCAAATCTCCCTGAAAAAAGTAATGGCCAATGAAAATGCCTGTCAATTTTTCAGGCCCATAAAAGCTGTATTTCAATATAAGCAGACAGAGATCGAATTGTTTATGCTGCTGATATTTGAAACTATAGTCCTGTCTGCTTTATGGCATAAAAGCCAAAGATCTGTGACAGAAAAAATTATGATATACTTTTCCCTAGATCAGACAGAAAAGATTTTCTGCCTACAAAATAAGTCATTTCTCTACTCGGGAGAGAACTCTCAGAAACAACAGTCTCTCCCAAACTCATGTGGGAAGACATCTGACAGGAAGACAAGCAGAGATGTGGCGCTCTCTTTGCTTTGAATGACAAGCTACTGCCTATTGATGCAGTTTCTGATTGATTTGAAGGCACATTTCCTATAAAGGATCTGCTGCAGTCATCTATCAGGTAGTCCTCATCATGATCCACCCTCTAAGTTACTGGATAATTTCAGCTGAGGAAGTGAGCAGCATGACCATTCTGTGGATGCCCCAACACATCTGTTCCCATTTGTCCTGCCTTCCCACTCCCAGGGAGCAAACAAGATCACAAGCCAAATAGAAGCTGGAGGACCCCAACAACAGAGCTCCTCTCAGGACAGATAAGTATCTGTTTAACATGCTTATGGATGTCTCAACGAGGAACTGATACATCCGTAGAGCTAAGCATGCGATAAGTGTTATGTATCAACGGGAAGACTGTCAAAAAGCTAACTTATCTAAAAGGATTTAGCAAAAATAAGTCCTAGAAGAAAATGATCAGTACAATATAGTACAGTTTCCAGAATATGCTCACATCTTCAGCAACGTACCTGGAGTCGCAACAAACCTGAAAGCTCAGTTTCGTAAGGTTCCTGATAATGTTTCCAAAACATGACGTTTAAAGGAGAACAATAATGACAGAAAAGGAGAAGACTTGTTATACAAGACTTTGGAAGGGACTAACAATCACCTTCACCTCAATTTCTTTCTCATTTCCTTCCCCCTTTCCTCTTTCCATAAAAGAGGAGGCTGCAGATTCAGCTTTATCTTCAGAAGCCCTCAGTATTTCCAAGGGGCTGAATCTCAGATGGAGGAAATTGAATTTGTTTTGTGCCAAAACAAATTCAACTGTAACTGAATAAAAAAAAAAAAAGTTGTCAAGATTCAATTTCCTCCACAAAATGGTTAAAACAAAACTTGAGAACCTCAGCTGAATATCAGATGCCACAGCTACCAGAGTCTGGTTCATTAACACAGGAAACCCAGAACTTCTTAGTAAGAACTCCAGAGGAACTTCTCCAGAACTTCTCAGGTGCTGTAGGGGTAGGAGAGAAGTACTTTTTTGCTGCTTCTGAGTCACAACATAAGATATCTGCAATGTTTAAGATCCAATCAACTCAACTTGAAAGTATCTTCAATAACAGAAGATTTCTGTTGTCCTGACTTCCACTTCATTACTCACAGATCATCTGGATTAGTAACACATAACACTGAAGCTCATAAAGAGGATATTCAGGAGTTGTATTGTATGATAGGCCAAGACATCTTCCCGTTATACATGGGAAGACATTCTATATCTTTTCACAATCTTCAGCCCATTGAAGACAGAATCTCCATTTCCAAATGTTTTTGCTTTAATGATTTGTAAGTAAAAAATTACGAATAAAAATAACTGACTGTTTGTATTAACTATTGTAAAGGCTAAAGTTTAATAACACAATACTATCTATATAAAAGTAACTACAGCCTATCTAAAGTGCACTGGAAATCCAAACATTAAATTGAGTCATTACATAGGCAATCTGGATTTAATACTAGTCTAAAATAGTCAGCCA